CAATTACAAGTTCTAAAGTAATCAATCGTTTGACAATTGCAAGCTCTAAAATAACCAATCGTATAGAGTTTATATTAAATAACTCTAGCTTTGTTTGTATAGACATAATATTAGTTTTTATAAAATTTTATTCTAAACCGTAACGCTAAATGAATATAATCTCACCTGGTTTCAAAAAATTGATCAAAGATCATGCTAATTAGAACAGCATTTTCTATTAAGGATAAGGACGATTATCAGAATAAAATTTTTGTTAAATGATTGCAATGATTTATCGTCTTTTAGTTAAAAATGGACAAACTTTTAGAATCGAAAATAGTTTTTCAGCAGCTAATATTCTTGAAACTTTATTAATACAATCGTTTTTTAGTTTTGTGAAACTAAGAGTATTTTTATTAAGACATTTCTTGGTCTCAAAGCCGATTACAATAATATGAATAATAAAATTTCAAAACTGCCAAAAAAAAACAATAATAATTCTAAAACACAAATTATATTTTTAATAATAACCCATCTTCCTTCACGATTTTAGATGATTTCAGAATATATTCATTTCTAGAATAATTGTTATATTGTTCAAGTTCACGAAGATTCTTAATTCTATAAAATGTGTATTAACATTTAATAAAAATTGGTAATAAGATCACATAATTTCGTAGACCCGTGGGACCGCGGGACCACAAAGCTTTACGTATTCATGATCACAGAATACGTCAATTTTTTTAGATAATATTCTAAAATTGTTATAACGATTATTGAGGCCAAGAGAATTATCAAACAAAGTTTTTATTTATAACGTAATAAAAGTATTTATTTTCTAGCCATATTAAAAATAATTTAAAGAAATTAAAAAATATTCCATAATAAAATCTTATAAATGATTTATAAACTATCAAGACATACGTTTGGTTAAACCTTTAATTGGTGTTGGGACACATCATCAACCGCTTTTACCAAATTCTGATAATCTCTGGAATCTAATTTACGAATCATCCTTAAATCCATAGTGGAAGTCCTATATATTTGCTCAACTCCAATTTTCTCAAAAATATAAAACACTCGCATAGATACTTCAACATAGTATCTACTAATTTCTAATTTCTTAATATAAAAATTCTTTTCTGATTTAGTCACTAAA